TCACCTGTACAGTGGTTCCCACGCCTCCACCACCTGCTGATGTGCCGCACCAAGCAGCGGGGATCCTTAGACATGTTCTCTTTGGATTCCCCTCTGCTAGGTGATTAGTTACCAACTTGTATCATTGTCTACTCCACTAATATACTTCAGATTCCCCTCTGCTAGCTGCGTGACTCCGATCCGTCGCTCCGGAGGTTGCCCTTACAGAATCTAACTACTACCATCACACATACCTCCTCCTAGCATGAGATCTGTATGCTACCATTCCAAATCCTTACTACAGTGCAAAACACTCAAAATAACTAGAACCATCAAATTTTGAAATGGTATGTATCAAGGACTGATACAGATAGCATGCCATAGCTTTAGAGCTAGATAGCATGAATGCAGTCTCAGTCGCACTTTATCAAAGTAAGATGAACCATATTAAAATGGTCAGATAGTGTGGATGCAGTCTAGGTTAAATGGATAATGAGTATATGTAGTGTAAGATAATATAGCAAACATACCTCAATCACACTTTATCAAAGTAAGACAAGCTGAGGTATGACAAAGTAGGAAAACATATTTATAATGGCGCAGCTGAGCACATGTGATGAAAACTCCAGTGCGGCGCATAAGGAACGCGTCCTATCCATTGAAACTATGTCCTTACTCCAAACATATTCAAATTTTTTTCAAATCCTCAGAATTGATTGACTCCTTTCAACTATTTCTTTCGACTGAACATAGCAGATTCTCACCCACTCAAGTTTGGTTATTTTTCCAACAGCATGGCCCCCCTTTCCCTTATTGTGATATCTAATCTGACACATCATTTTTATTTACTTCCTGGGAAAGAAGTATGTCTCTAATTCATGCATGCAGGAGGCCTAAGATTTCTGTACTTATTTAAATACCTAAGGACAACACAACCTTTGTATGCTATTTAATATGAACAATTGGCTAAGCACACGGAGAAATTCGGTCATGGATGAACATCATTTAAAAAGCAATCAGTACTTCAGTTTGTCTACTTCATATCTTTGTACTGCAAATTTGGGCTGACCGCGGAAGCAGGACAACTTTTCTGCTTTGCTGTACTTCCCTCCCACTCGTCCCAAAGTATCTATGACTCTCGAAGCTCCAACATTCATTTGCCCTGACCCAATTACCAAGCCCATCCAAATAATGCTTCACATCTAGCTCGATCGTTTTGTCAAAATGTGGGACATGTTTCAAGTCGTTCAAAAACTGCTGCCCGAGTTTTGAATGATGATCGCCGATCCAATTCACTGCTTCACTCAGACCAATCTTCTTTTGATGCATCACAATAGTGATAATATTGTGACCATGATCTCCACGAGCTTGCTCGACGTTGTAAGAAAATAAATCCTGGTTTCTTTTTCAGCACAAGAGTAGAGATAGAAGCCAAAAGAAAGTTTTACATTATCAAGGATAATCATGTCAATACAAGCATTGGTAAGACGTTCGATGATGGGATCCTCCAAGACATTGTCTGGGAGATTGAGTCCAAATTGGAGAAGCGCGAGCGATGGTTTCACACCAACTGTCTTTCTCCAACAAGGAAATACTCGTCAATGCTCCTGATGTAATTTTGGGCACGATCTTCGGCTTGCTGAACCACCGAGGCAGTATATTCATCAAAAGACTTAATAAACCGACGACTTGCTCCTTCGGATGCACATTGCATTGATAGCTTCCAAAATCTAAGTCAAGACACAAAGACGATTAGATGTCAGAAGGATAGAGTTTTTTGAGACCTTACTGTCTAGCAACTTCGCCGACAACACACTCATGAGCTGGCCTTGCTTTGTCTGGATTGCGTATTGCATCCATGACCATGTCAGCCATTTCTTGAGCTTCACGGGGTGCTGCAACGTCAGTGTACCGATCAAACACATCAAACAGGCCCATGAGATCAGTGCCTGCGCGAATAATGTCTGTATATCAGAATATACATTGAGAATCCCTGTCAGGAAGAGTGAATATAAGGAAGAGCAAACCTTGGTTTTCCAGAGGATATCCGAGGGAAGCGAGCAAGTCTAATGAGTGATATTCGAGACCATATACTGGAAGAGCAGCGATATCAAACAGTAAACTCACTAAAATTGCATAGATCAAATGCTCGCTGTTCCCCAGCCGTGAATATTTTGAAACTTTGAATCCATGCCGATGAATCTGCTTGAGCCTGGAGGTAGAAGGGACTAATAGTACGTGTCCAGGGCCAATTTGCAAGAGTATCAGGCAGGAAAAAGACAGATTCAGTCAAGCCACTTTCCATCCTAGAAAGATCTTTTGCTTGCTCTTTCATGGGTTCTCGAGTTTTTAAAGAAGACTGCCAATCAGACAATACCTGAACTGGCAACTGAGACACACTCAAGAACTCTGCTCCATCGATGTAGCTTATGGCACTGGGCGTGTGAAGGTAACATACACGGATATGATATCAGATATCTTTCACACATTCAAAGTATATGAATTGCCGGCCCGTTACGCCAGACGGTATTTCCAATAACCTTTTTTAGTGCCCTCGGACCGGTTAACCGAAGATCTTTATCAGAAGCTTTCCTGATACATGAGCCAGATCAAGAATGGTGTGGGTGGCTCGAGGAGTAAGTTTGTTTGAGGATGCTAGAGGATGTTGTTAAGGAAAGAATGCTTCGATCGAGTATGGAATGTTTAGTAAGCGAAGATGGGCAGGGGAAAGATCAAGGACCAAAAAGGAAGAAGGAGTAGCGGACATAGGGGAATGATTGAAGAGGGGAACCTGAGATCTATGATTAGATAGAGACAAGAGACAGAGCATGATTGAGTGATAATGGGACTGACCACTTCTTGATAGGTAGAACTTGGTAATTTTTTTTGATTTTTACATCCGCAGAGAAGGAGGATTTGAAAGGAATGATAGAACGGGCCGATGGACAGTTCCCCCCACTTCCTGGCTTGTCGGTTGCAACTCTTCTTTAATCCCCGCTGTCCTCTCCGCTGTCCTCCAATTCACATACCGATATACCTTTTGGCCTTCTGCTTCCTCGTTCTTGAATGCCTCGTCTACGCTCCCATCCGCGCCTCATTTCCTGAAATCGAATCGATTGCCTGACTCAGTCGTCCCCATCCAATAGTGCTTTGAGTACTCAACCACCCATTGATGAGCTGACGGCGGAATCTATATTCCGCTAGCATCATCACCCGGCAATCCAATGAGCTTACAATGCAGAACATCCAGACCATGGCGTTGCTCGTCTTGTTGAAGGCATAAGAACGAGCATGAATCATGACGCATGATTCAGGGTTTTGGCGTGCCTGACTGCTACAGCGGTGGGGATGCAGTGAGGGCGTGGGAGCGGGAGAATGTCGAGGTAGAGGGGACACGGCAGAATGTAGCGGAGGAGGGAGGTACTGGTTGATTCGCGAGGTAGTAGTTGGGTGATGGTAGATGAGGAGTACTTGGCGTGTGTTTTTGGGGATTGTAGTGGTGTAATTGTGAATTTCGGCTGTTGGGGTACGTATTGATGTGACGGCGAAAGCTCTGATGATATTTTAAACTTTCGCGTGCACTGCAGGAAGGATAATGATCAGCTCGAAGTAAGTGAAAGTAGAATGGCTTGAGGACGTACACGGCATGTGCATCTATCCATCGATTATAAGATTCTTTGGGTTACTTAGAGTTGTAGCATGCGCGCAGGGGCTTTGTCAAATCAACTCGAAGTTCCATTGTGGACGAGAACGCTCCGTGCTCTCCCCCCACTTCTGACGCCTCGGCGACACATCATGTGACTCTATTACTTTCACTTCAAGTCGTCGGTCAGTACCGATGGTGTAATTCTGTAAACAGACAGCCCACTGGGGATACGGAAGATCAACACAAATGACTTAGGCATGTCTTGTCCCAGGTGGACAATGATTGTTGACTAGAACTCTCATTGCACACAATTTAGATGCACCTTGAGTTCAAGAAAGGCCTCTTTCGAAACTTCCTCGCTCTGAAAGAATACAATCTATGTTCATCTCTATTGACACGGACTCGCCAAACTTCGCTTTCAATGTAGCGATCTCTCAAAACTTCAACCCTGTAAGAATTAGCTATGAGATTATTCTTTTATCTCATCTTCATTACTACAGTCAGAGATGATTTCATACATATCTTGGCCGTCTCAATAACCGGACGAGGTCGCGAAGCATACCTGCAATCCCGTCCTCTTCGTTTTTTCAAAGCAGCCAGTAGCTTATCACGAGCACCAAACATTACACTGCGCAACGATTTGGTGGCACGAATCATGCACGAAGGAAATGGTTCTTGTCATGTCGACATCTTTGCTTTGGATGAGTATGACATCGACCTTATATTGTAAATAGGTCATTTCCCTGGAAGAAACCATCGTTGAGTGTCCTGTGCCCTGATGATTGATGCAGTATCACATTCGATCTTACCGTGCTGGCAGCTTCCCTGCCCACTAGGTCATCGCAACGTGGGTGGGATATCTGAGACATCAATCAGCCCATCTCACACTCAGTTCATATTTGTCACCGAAAATCTGAACACTATCTATGGTATGGTCATTCCCCACGATGTATCACAGTTCCCTGTTCTCCGTAAGATTGTGAACTTCCCTGGGGACCATTACCCAGTCATTGCAGCTGACTTTGAGAAGAATGTTATTGCTTTCGAAAGAGATTAGAAGGCGGACCGCGACAAACTTATTGCTTTCGAAAGAAATTAGAAGGCGGACCGCGACAAACTCAGCGGTCATTAAGCTGAATACCTTGGTAGAGGACAGGTTCGTGTCCAAGGTGTTCACTCTTATGAATACCCCGTAGAATGGTATGTCGGGTGGCCACCCCTTCTAGATGAACGCTCGGACGGATTGTATAGTTTTTTGGTAGGAGGGGGCTTCTTGTAGTGGATACTGCTTTGTCCTTTGCATCGACTATCAGTTGTTACTTATCCCTTCCGGATCTGGTATATACATATAGTGAAGGTTCCGTCATTAAGAAATTCTTCGCTAGTATATCGGTTAGTACACGCGCCTGTCATGGATGTAAGTTCGCGCGAAAGCTGGGTTCGACTCCCAGGCGAAGAGTATGGAGTGTACACATTTAGTTATTTTTCGTCGTCCCCTTCATTTGTTTCGTCTCGAATGGTCTACTGATTTTTTCAGACATTGTTTACGCTAATATCTAGAATATCATTGCGTGGAATCAGTCTGCAAGCGATAATCCATACGTTCATAAGTTCTACATGATTTTATGGCTGCAAAGGGCTATCTTGAGTCATGAGTTTGATGAATAGCAAGAGCATGAATCTGGTGAACAGTTGTGTTAATGGTGTGGCATAATTCCTTATCAAATCCAACGCAGCGTAGAACGAAACACGGGATCTTCCAACGACCACTGTCATAGTGCTCTTTGACCAAGTCAGCTGACATTGGTGGGTGATTGTTGTCAAAATGGCGGGCTGTGAGGCGTGCGCAGTGCGATTTTTTAGTCTGCCAGTTGATAGAACAGTTGGACCCATCGTCACGGATAAGAATTTAGGATACAACTAACCTGGTCATCAAGGATCATCCATTCAGAGAGCGCCATTGGATGTTCTGGAAGAGACGAAATGATATATGTGCCGAGGTAACACCACTATCGAGCAATTGAGTTGAGAAATAAAGTAATTTGGGACGGGTATACTTTGCTTCCTTTGCCCTGTACGACTAGTTCAAAGGAACACTCCTCCGGTACTGAGAGGGGATAAAAACAGTACCCTGAGCGACCACAGGAAGGGATGTAGCTTGATGATCACATCTTTGCTGATTAGATTGCACCAAAATATACCACAGCCTATATTTCTTACAGGGGCATGCAAGCAGGAGGCTGTGGAAGGAGATACAATCTATTCATCGGAGTAATTAGTGAGTTGAACCGTTCATCAATCAATCAAACCAGTGCCTTTTAGCTTGTGTTACATTCTACAAAAACAAGGCGCCTGTTGAAAATTCAATCGGCGGAGATATGATTATCCTCCTTACCATCGGCAACATCAGCATCAGCAGCTGTATATCAGAATGACTCTTCAGCGTTAACATTGCTGATTCGAATCCATCCTCCACAAACGGTATATGGGGAAAAGATCTCTCGATTGCCGCTAATCTGTTCTGACGTACTTCTGCAGCTAAGTAAACCACCTGTGAGTGGACCAGCGCTGACTGAAACTCGACATTGTATCAACAACCCGTATAATGGAGGACACTCACTTTCTTTTCGAGCCAGTGTTGCCTACTTTCTGTCGCCATGAGATACTCCAGTAGCTCGTGATGTCCATTCCTGGAGTGAACTTCCTGTTCGCATATATCTTCCATTCTTCCAGTGTTATTCTATGTAGGCACAGGTCTTTTAATCCTTGATGTGCACACGACAACAATAGGGACCCACACTTGACAGTCCATAGGGGGTGTTGGGTATGTGAGCCATTTTTCCTTTTTTCGGTCGCAAAAACTTCTTGAAAATCACTACAGTGAACCGCCGCCAGTGTCTTCCGAGGGTAGACAATGGAACACTTGGCGTTACTTGCAATCCTGCTTCACATACAACCATCCACGCAGAATATTTAAAAAGGTTTGGACGGCCGATTCCGAGATCGTCGATCGATGTGCAGTTCTACAAACTTTGTGCTAAGAAAGAAGCTGACATTGAATCGCAAGTATATGTCCGTAGATATACGTACGACCAGGGAATGAATGAATGGATGAACTCTGTTTATACCGCCGGCAAGCTGCAATACAGGACTAAGAGGCGGGGGTGAAGTAAGGTAATGGCTCTACACCAATGATATGTGCTGGTGTGCGTTGTGATGTAGCGGTAATTGTAGATTACTTGCCATTCGAACTCTCTTCGCAGAATCTCGTGTGGCTGGTATTTGACGCGGTCACGTCGCAAGTACGACCAGGGAGTTCTTACTGTTACAATGTTACAATTTTAGATATCTACCTCCGCTAACTAATAGCTAAGGACGAATCAGTGATGATAAGCCTCGGTAGACCGACCGCCCAGCGAAGACGGATTGCGGAAATGTTTTGATGAGAGTCTAGAATTGATAGCCGTTGATGTCGTAATTCAACCAATCAAGTAGGATTAGCGCGCTTGAAATTGGCAAGTATAGGCCATAAATTAATTTCCCACATTATTATTACACGGAAGGAGTCACAAATGTCTACTCCGCCTTGTGCCCTTTTGCCTTCTTTTCGCGTGAGTCACCGGCCAGCCACAGGGCCGAAAACAAGAAGAAAGCGATACTCGTGCTGATTGCGCCCGTATAGTAGGGCCATGCAGCACTCAAGAAACGTGGATAGCCATCATGGCGTGGAGGCACGACCGGGACAGTCATAGAGCTCGTAAGATACGTGAGGCTGTAAAATTGAGGCAAATCAGTAGTGCATTTATGGCATGGAGATAATCCACGTACCCCTTGCGTTTATAGTTGATCACGAACTTGAAGACACCATGCCGGTCGGGTACACGGAAAGTGGCTGAATACTTGCCCGGATTGCTTGATACTGGCAACAGAGCTGTCCGAAGGTGTGGATCCAGCATTGTAAATTCTAGCTGGAGATCTCTGATCTCTGGATACGGCACCCAAGTTGACGTTTTCGAATCATACTTGGAGATATAGGCGTTATATACCTGAAGGTGTCGTTAATCGTACTGAGGTGTAGCCTTAGTTCAATCCTCACAAGTCTATCATTAGTGGTATATTGCTCTGGTGGTTCAGTTGCATTGACGCGATGATGGGTCGTGCTTTCGATACGAAAGACGTTTGTTTCCTGGAAGGTCCATGCGACGACATCACGAGCAAAAGCGGCATTTCCAGAAGGAAGACCTCTGAGAGAAAAGAAGCTCAGAATGTGCGTGGTTCTTCAGACTATGATACAAAACGCACTTGGATATTTCTTTCTGCGCAAATTCGTCGCTGAACACATTGACACCACCCACGAACGTGACGCGCGAATTGTCAAGCGTTTGGAAACCAGTGACTAAGCTAAGCCGGGATCCAGCCCAGAGACCTTCGCCACCTCTCTCCGCCGCGTCAACGAGAGAATCAGGAGATCCACCATCGGTTTCAGAGGCAAAGCTTTCCTCCGGTGCACGGAGAATAGGTACGATCATAGGGTTGTTTCCAATCGAGTGTGGCACACCAGAGAACCAGACTGGGTTGATATTTGAGGAAACGATCGAGTTGGCTTGGACAGAAACGGGAATGACCTGAGGCGATTCTTCGCGTTCTGGGAAGTATGAGACTAGCGGAGTGCCAGGAGGTGGAAGAGTGAGCGAAAATTCTGCGGCCAGTGATGACATTGGCGTCTGTTTAGAGGACAAGGCGATAATGAGGTTAGTCTTCTTTCCTAGAAGTTGTACAAAAGATTGCGGTGTGATATCCTTCGCAAAATCTATCAAGATTCAGGAAGATAATTATTTGAATAGGAAATTGATAGCATACTCTTTGTTTCAGATGCCAAAAGGATAACGTGGGCGAAGTTGGGGACATCGTGCTCAATGACGAGAGGTCCTTCAGCCTTGGGGGCGCGGAAAGTCAGCTCATATCCTTGCTCTAGAGTGATCATTGTCAAGTGAATTCATTGCGGCATTGTAGTAATTCACAGACCCTTCAATCCATCGAAGAAGAGAGAATAGTCATCCTGCCTGTTTGGTTCAACAACTACCAGGACAGAATCTCCAGTGCTAGACCTGGCATAGAGACACGTAGCAAGACTAACAACAAGAAGGAATAATGAGCGAAGCTGTACCATTGGCGGTTTGCCGTGATAGACGTCGAGGTCAATAAATTCCCAACCGCTGGCACTTGCGCACGAGTTCCACGTCACGGTCGCGCTCAGCTGGATATTTTTGGAATTGTGCGCTTGGCATGGGTTTCTGAACCAAATAGAAAGTCCCGAACCTCCATACAAACTCCGATAAAGCCCGACTAAAATTCATTTGCAAGCGCGCTAAGCTTTGTCCAGCCGTTACCTCGTTGGTCGTTCAAAATTCTTTGTCTCCTTTCTTTCCCGCGATGACTGCCTCCGATGAGCTTGAATATCTCAAGTCCCTTGTGGCGCAATTAAACGACAAGATCGCAGCCATTGAGGCAAAGTCAAAGCCCGCTCCCAAAACGCCTGCTCAGCAACTTCGGACAATTCTTGTCGGACCTCCCGGAGCAGGTGCAACGAATACAATGCCGACCGTCTTTACTGGCTAACTGTCCCCGCAGGAAAGGGAACGCAAGCCCCGAGAATTCGCGACGAGTTTTGTATTTGCCATTTGGCGACTGGTGACATGCTTCGCGATCAGGTAGCCAAGAAGACACCCCTCGGTGTTGAGGCGAAGAAAATCATGGATACCGGAGGCCTTGTCTCTGATGATATTATGGTGGGCATGATTAAGAGCGAACTGGAAAATAACACGGCTTGCAAAAACGGGTACGTCATTTGGATGGACGTTGCTTTCGTGTCATTCAATTCATATTTCTTCCAGTTTTGTCCTTGATGGATTCCCTCGAACAGTACCCCAAGCTCAAAAACTAGATAGCATGCTTGAGGAACGCAAGGAGAAGCTTGACTCTGTCGTCCAACTCCAAATCGACGATTCTTTACTTATTTCTCGCATCACGGGCCGGTTGATCCATCCCACAAGCGGAAGGACTTATCATAAGGAATTCAAGTATGTTACAGTACCGTCACGCGGGCAATTGACTGATGAAATCCCTCAGTCCACCTAAAAAGCCAATGACTGATGACGTGACTGGTGAACCCCTTATTCAGCGTTCGGATGACAATGTAGAAACCCTCCGCAAACGTCTTGGGGCCTTCCATACCCAAACAGGTCCTGTTGTCGACTATTACCGAAACAAGGGCTTATGGCATGGTATTGATGCAGCACAATCTCCAAAGGTTGTCTGGGATCATCTTCGCAGTGTCTTTGTCGGTAAAGATCAGAAGTAAATCTAATGGCTACCTAGGGACTTAACTACTAGACACAAATACCATGTTGTGGATTAAACATGCTGGCAGTGCCTCCTGAACACCATTCAGACAGCAAC